CTCCTCCTTCTCCTTCCCCTTCCACTTCCCCACCGCCTTCCTCTCCCTCTCCCCTTCCCTCTCCTTCTCCTTCCTCTTTGCCAGTGTCCTCTTCTTCCTCTTCTTCTTCTTCTTCTTCTTCTTTCTTCTTCTTCGTCTTCATCATCATCATCATCATCATCATCATCATCATCATCATCTTCTTCTTCTTCTTCTTCTTCTTCTTCTTCTTCTTCTTCTTTTTCTTCTTCTTCTTCTTCTTCCTCTTCTTCTTCTACTTCCCCTTCTTCTACTTTTGCATCATCCATTTCTTTGTCTTCTTCTTCTTCTTCTTCTTCTTCTTCTTCTTCTTCATTTGCCCCCCCACGCCGGCTGAGATCGGCCCCTCCTTTTTCTTTGTTGTCTATATTGGGACGTCGGCAGGTTCGTTCATTCTCTCCTCCTCCCAATCCCGCTTCCTCTCGACGTCATGTTGATGCTAATCTGCGGGGTTCTTTGTCTTACCGACAACCTTCTCTGCCACGTCGACAGCGTTCGTCATTCATGCGCCGACCCCTCCAGATCAGACCTAGCTTTCCGGTGGTGACCGAATCGGATCTGCGGGCAGATCTACCAAATGTTTGTGGGTTGACAGCCACAAATGTCTGCCTACAGGCTTATCAACGTCAATGTTATACTGCTTCCCATTTTGTTACAATTGCTTATCAGCTTGACGCTGTTGAAAATCAGTTGTTGTATGACCATAATGGTCCACTTCCTGAAGGTGGTAATTATACTACCTCAGGAGGCTTTATTGTAAATGTCTTACAACTAGCTTTCCATGATCGCCACGTTCTTATGCATCATGCGACGCCAGGCGATGACCTCAATAACCATCCTCATATTTTTGCCTGTATTTTGCATAGACCCGCGCATTATATGGCACTCATTCGTGCAGCTACCCAGTGGGAACTGTGGGATGGTGGGACAATGATTCAGGCTATTTTCAATATAAATGAATTTTTGTGTGCATTACCGAATCATACTTTATTTTGGATTATGATCGACTCTCGTGTGACACCTGTCGGGACAGGGACGCGGTGCATCTTGGCTGCGGAATTCATCACCTATGCCATCAACATTATCAATCTATTGCAGCCGCCGCCGTCTGTGCCGAAGGGTGTCCAACATTTCCTCACTGTACACATCCCTATCACCCAGATATTCGCTGTCCCTTTTGTGCTCAAGGACGCTATCAGGACTGCATGATGCCGCACTGTGATGAACATCCTGCTGTTTTTTTGACATGTGGACAGCATGTACTTTGTCAGGACTGTTTTGATGGGATGGTTCGTGCTAGCCGTCCTGCTGAATGTTGTGCTGAAGTAGCTCTTCTTGGGTATCCTTGTGAACATCCACGTCATCCTCAGCGTGCCTGTCCTATCTGCCAGGGTGGGGGCTCCTCTTCCTGACTGGTCAATAGAATTAAGTGATCAGGAGGAACACTAATTGTACGACAGATAAAAGAAAGGAAGAGAAAAAGTATACAAATTTCTGGAGAAAACAAAAATGAAAACAAGAAAAAATTCAAAAAAGAAAAAAAAAAAAAAAAATGTTGAACTTTGTAGTGACAGTGGCAATTGTGCAAGGAACATGAATGTGGACGAAGCACAGAAATCCAGATTGCAAAATCACACATAAGTCCAAGTAGTCAAAGCAAGAGCAGATAGCACAATGGAACCGAGTAACCATCCATTTGAGAATGATACAGAAGAATCGTGAGTCAATGTCCAA